TATATATAATACGACAGCGAATAAGAAAAAATCAAAGATTACTTCTACATGTGACTGTTTCAGATAAATGCAACAGGGGAAAATTTATCCCGAGAAATCATTCATGTATTAGTCCAATAGAGATCATCTTAGTTACAATATTAAGCCTACTCTTAATGACTCACTGTATTTTATTTAGGGTTAAGTATCCCTTTATTAAGTTTAATTCTATTGAAAAGGCATGTTACTTGACACCGCATCTGACTAATTATTCTGTTTGAGTTAATGAAAATATCATTATCTTTTAATTGGATGTGTTTCTCATTCAAGATGTCACTCAGGATCGATTATCGCACTTTATGACTAAATAAAAAGGAAACATCCTCTTCATAGCATTGAATAACACAACATGACTCTCTTTTACCTATGCCAAATATTTAATGGCTTTGAGAAATCGCTTTGAATACAATAAACTGCAAAGAAAACATAAGTATGTACGACCAGACATAAACTATAAAAATATTTCTAGGGATTCCATATTCGAAATCAAAACAAAAATGCCAAGCAAAAACTCATTAAAAATATAACTCTATTCATGATATGCCTGGATGTACAAAATACGATACTTAAGAACCATCGGGCCTACTAGCTACATAGTTCGGATCAAGAATGTGGTCTGAAGGTCTAGATGACGGGGCAATATTTAGAAATTGAGCGGCCAGGAGAGGCGAAGATGGCGGAGGTGCCGAAATCTCTTCTCATTTGTTATCTTTTTCTGAATTTCCTCCCGAGCTATCCTCACCCAAAACAAGGCTGTACTCGCGACCATCGAGAGAAGGATAATCTAAGAGAATATTCTTTCGTTTCGACTTCAAGAGCCATGATTTTCCTTTGAATGTCCGTCTTCCCACATGAACCTCATAGAGAATATGCAATCTGGTTTCCAAGGTGACCTAATTGTTGTCAAGCTCAATTGTTAAGCCATCTTATCGTATTCTTCTTTCAAGGTAGCTCTGTCGGCAATGCTACCCCAAGAAAACTCATCTGAAAGGGCCAAGACAACTTTTAACTCTTTCTCTCGCGCCTCCATTTAGGAATGCTCTGTTACAAACCGGAGCTTAGCCTCCTCCTTCTTAATCAATTCGGCCTTAAGAGTTCAAATTTTCTCATCAACTTTGGCGAGATCTCGAGAGTACAACAATTCTCGTACAGAAGCTCTTTCTAGCGAGATCCCGAGAGTACACTAGTTCTCATCCAAAATCTCTTTCTATCGCCTCTTTGAGCTCCACTCAACAACTTTTATCCCTCTGACCTCTGCTATCATCAACTTGCACATCTTCTTGATCGTGTTAAAATTGGTCTTATTAGTTTTGAGTCTTTTTAAAGTCTCAGAAATGATTAAGTTATGCTGCACGATGTAGACAATAGGTCAGGAAAGTTATAAACTCAAGATAACAATTTGAAACACGGCAGAAAATAAAATGTACCCTGATGGTTCCATACATAATCTGGGTCATCAACCATTCCATATCATATTACACCATCTTCTCCTTCTCAGTGGGGCCGACCTATTAGTGCAAACATTCAATAGCATGACAAGGTTTCGCTATGAGATTGACATCATTGGGAAGGGTGAACGATATAATGCATTCGCTCAGTTCAATAGAAGGTCCGGTAGGAGTAACCTGTGCCAACACTACATTATCGCCAACTGAAGGTGCCTCCCATCCTCGAGCGGCAGTGATCGTCAGTATAGGAACAAGGGGCATCCCCTTATCAAGCAGACCCGCAGGGATAGGAATTTCATAATCTCCATCCAGATTCACTATAGTAAGTGACCTCTCATCTCCAGTATGGGTATCTTCCTCCAAATCGACCATAACTATGACCCTGTCACTTTCAACATCCTCACTTAGGTGGCAGCGAGCAGTCGGAGGCCTAATATGGGGACTGTTCTTATTAACCCAGGTGGCCAATTATTTTCTCAGTTGTCCTCTTTCTCTTAGATGGGGAACTGATAGAAGGAGGCTAAATGGAAGCGGCACTAGAGTCACTGAGCTTCTGTTGCTGAAGAAAAAATAGCTCTCGAATCTTCTATATAGCGCCATCGTCATTGGGAAATCTAGCCTTTGAGAGAGGTTGTTGTTTCTCATGCTTCTCCTTTTTCTTCCTAAGGACCATGAAGTGAAAGTCTGTGGAATTTAACTCTCATCTTAAGCCCGAAAGCAATGTTCTTGACTTGGTAGAAGAAACCCCCAAGATCTCAAATACCCACTCTTTTATGTTGTCGACCCCTCTAAAATCAAGGGAAATAACTACAATCCAAAGGAAGAAATCAGAGGAATTCATGGGATAAAAGCTAGATAGTTTAAGAAAAAGTACTTACGGTTGGGATTCCACTTCTCCGGAAAAGTCACACTCTCTGAATTGACGAGGCACATGGTCGGTATTATAATGGATCTCTCGAACCACCTCCGGTTGTAGTCATTATTACAATCGGTAATCAAAGATATCTTTTCCTTCTGATTCATACTGAGCATGCCACTCTGGTAGATCTTGGGAGAAAGAAGGAGGATAATATTCCACAAGGTGAAGAGCACATTTGCCAAAGCCAAGTGGGAAAGATAGGAAACCAACCTCTAGATCATCAGACCTATTTGATCCAGGAAAATGCGGTATCTATTGTACATCTCTTTGATGATCGTATCTATTAGAAGTGAGAACCCGAGGATAAAATTATAAGTATGTACAGAAAAGTGTCTAGGACATAGCTAGTGAGTCGCGCATCAGTAGCTAGTGAGTCGCTCGTCATGCCAAATATAATTGTAACGATCCAGCCGGTCATTTTGAGTACTACAGCTCTGTTCCCCCCATTTACTACTCTATTTGTGCTTTGTAGATGTATTATGATTTACCGGATTAGTTGGTTTAGGTCCGAAAGGATTTCGGAGTGAAATGAGATACTTGGTCTCATAATGGAAAGCTTAAGTTGGAAAAGTTGACTGGATGTTGACTTATGTGTAAACGATCTCAGATTTGAATTCTAATGATTTTAATAGCTTTGTATGGTGATTTTGGGCTTAGGAGCGTGTCCAGAAAATTATTTGGAGGTCCGTAGTGGAATTTGGCTTGAAATGGCAAAAATTTGAAAAGTTTGACCGGGGGGGTTGACTTTTGGATATCGGGTTCGGAATATGATTCTAGAAATGAGAATATGTCTGTTATGTCATTTATGACTTGTGTGCAAAATTTAAGGCCAATCGGATTTGATTTGATAGGTTTCGACGTTGTTTGTAGAATTTGAAAATTTCAAAGTTCATTAGGCTTGAATCCATGTGTAATTCGTGTTTTTATGTTGTTTGATGTGATTTGAGGCCTCAAGTAGGTCTGTGTTATGTTATGAAACTTGTTGGTATATTTGGTTGAGGTCCCGGGGGCCTCGGGTGAGTTTCGGATGAATAACGTATCAAATTTGGACTTAAGGAAATGCTAGAAGATTTCTGGTTCTGGTGTGATCGCACCTGCGGAAATTGGCTTGCAGGTGCGACAAGGCAGTCGCAGAAGCGAAGGGAGAAGAAGCGGCCCAACGCGCGCAGAAGCGCGACCGCAATTGCAGTTTACGCGCGCAAAAATGACCTTCGCAGGTGCGAGCTTCGTCCGCAGAAGCGGATGTCGCAGATGCGACTATTCCACCAAAGATGTGGAAGTTGCTGGGCAGAAGCCTTAAATTCTGGGTTTCGCTATTTTTAGCCATTTTCAACATTTTGGAGCTCGGTTTGGGAGATTTTGGAGAGGAATTTTTTCACACAACTTAGGGCAAGTGTTCTTGACTCCCTTGCGATTATATTCCATGAATTAATCTTCGTTTTCGGCGTTAGATTATTGATTCTTCAAGAGAAATCGGAGGAATTTTCTACAATTTCATAAAATAAATTTCTAAGATTTGAACATCGATTCGGAGTCGGATTTGGGTAAAATTAGTATGGTTGAACTTGTAATTGGATGGGTTGTTGGATTTTGTGAGTTTCATCAGATTCCGAGATATAGGCCCCACGGGCAATTTTTGGAGTGTAATTTCGGATTTTGTGAGAAAATATCTGTTACACCCTATATTTTCGTACGTAAAAATGCGTCGTAAGCAAACTAATGTAGGA